CCCCCCCCCCCCTGTTTTATGCGTGTCATCCTTTCGCAGGCATCATGCTATTCTCTGTATTGTTCGAATTTGAACGGGTGTCCCTCGTCCTTATTTTGCTTGTTCTGCTTTCGTTGCTTGCAGCTGCCAACCAAATCTTGTGAACTATCAAGTTCTGGTTGAGAGTATGGACGTACGGCTGGCGCACGTTGGACTCTACGCGAACTGTGATGTGAGTACTAAATTACTAATTAAGTATTTACTCCATGCGCTCCCCGATCACCAAGCAGAGGACCAGACACCGAACCCTTTTTCGTTTTTACTTCTTTCGATGTATTGATTTGATCCTTCCGCAGCTTCGCCTACGGAAACCTTGTTGCGACTTCTCCTTCCTCTACATGACAAGGTTCAATGAACTCCTCACACAGCACCCCCAGGGGGCAAACTGCTGCGATCACCGAGATCCAGACCCATCACCGGACCTATTCAGCCGGTAGCAGCGACGGCCGGTGTATCGCCCAACCTAACTTTCCTGGGAACAGTGATCGCCTTTTCCTCCCAGAGTCTTCTTCTCTCTGGTCATCTCCTCTCTACCCACCCAAAGGCTGATGCGACTGTGACGTCTGTAGTCGATCAGCCGCTGCCAGGGACCACTGCATAGGGCACTCTGCTACCCGACAATGTAGCCTCGATGCCCATTGCAAGGGTGCAATACCCCCTCCCCCCCCCCTTGTCCTGTCTCTCTGGCGCAGCAGTACATCACCTGCCGACCGCTTGCGGAACAACTGCCAGACGACGACGCCATCAAGTTTGTGGATGGAAATAGATGAATTTTGCTTGCAGTTGTCTGTCCATTGGGCCTGTCAGGTCATACTCAAGCTAGGAGACATTTTGCGCTGAAGCGGCTGAAGTGAATATTACTGAATAATGATGAGGGTCACATACATCCAGGGAAGTCGTAGGTGGAGTACACCCGAGAAATACCCGGGGGACATCCGTCTTGGGGCAAACATGCCATTCCCAGGAAAGGCCTGTGAAGTTAGTTGTGTGAACAGCGCCTGACACGCATCAAGGGGACGTCTTGTCAGAAGCATGTGGTGCGTTGACGCTGAGGATGATGATGATGATGATGATGATAACATTGACGGTGGTGATGGATGCTGAAGAAGAAGAAGAAGAAGCTCCAACCAATGGGAACAGGCAACAATGATGATGGCAGTGAAGTAGTAGTAGTAGTTGGAGGAGGAGGAGGAGGAGGAGGAGGAGACAACAAGGACGGCGACATGAAGAAGAAGAAGAAGAAGAAAACAAAGAAGAAGAAGAAGAAGAAGAAGCAGAAGGAGAAGCCAGCAACCCATTCGTTGTGTGAGAAAAGAACATGTGCCAGTCAGGTGCACCAGTGGCCGCAGGCGGGAACTTGTGCTTGTGGTTGTGATTGTTTTGTTGATGGAATCAAAATTACAGGAAAGTCATTAACTGTTTACGGTTTACCAGTCTTAGAGTCTTGACTCTTTGCTTGTTTTTATTTTTTTCATTTATTTTTTTTTCGTTCTAGAATCTTTTTTTTTCTTTTTTCTTTTTTTTCTCTTTTGCAAGAATCCTGGATGCTCCAGTCTATCGGTGGGGAGCGGCACCTGCTCGAAAACGGGTCCAGCGTGGGTTTTTTAAATTGTTATTAACTCTTTAAATAATGTCTCGTTAAGGTCTATGACACATATTAGGACAGACTCCGGAAGGTGAGATGAACGGGGGAAAAATGCTGTGCAAATTTGGGCCCGTCTAATGGTGACACAATCCGTCCCAATGACCCAACAGGGCCAATACCCTTCCTCTGAAACTTTTGCCCCCTCCCATCGCGATGGCGACCCCCTTCCTCTGCAGCTTTCGCCCATGCATGGGAAGGCTGAGCATTTGCTGCACCGACCTGTATGCAACCGTACGATCCACGCTATGTACAATTGTTGGTTCAGCGAAATCGGTTCTCAGTGAAACTGGTAGTTTAAATCTGAAAGTGATTTTTTTTTTCGAAACAGGGCGTTTTAGAGATGATAGGTACTTGAGGGACTAAACTTAAACGGACCGGAATGGTTCAGCGAAATAGGCTCTCAGTGAAACTGGTGGTTCAAATCTGAAAGTGATTTTTTTCGAAGCAGGGCATTGTAGCGATGATAGGTACTAATACTACTAAACAAACTTAAACGGACCGGAATGGCAGTTGTTTAAGGGACGGTGGACCCGTTTTCAAGCGGGTGTTGCTCCCCACCAATAGATGGAGCCTCCCCGGGGGGTGATAGAGGCGTCTGCTTATACCAGCGCGCCTAGCTGTCGCACGGGCAGATTCAAAAAGGAAAAAAAGGAAAAAAAAAAGATGATGTCACAGTGATTTTCCGAACAGAGTTCTTTTGGCTGTCTATAGTTTGCCGAAGCGCAGCGACTGTCAGCCTTTTTCTTTTCTTTTCTTTTGCTGAAGTCCAGTGACCATAAGGCTTAAGCCATAATCCGGAAGTGTTTGGCGGAGGTCCACTTCTCGGTGGGACGAGTCGGGACAACGTTGACCAAGTCACAAAATCAAGAAGTGTCTTGCGTTTGCTCCATGCAGTTTCATGAGCCAACTTGGCGAACAGGGTCTGACTCGTCTCAGAGCAACTTGCGGTTGAAGTTGAGCGCGGCCGGTTTCCGCTTAAAGCACCAGTACATGAGCACCTGGGCCGCGGGCCTGACACCTCAAATGCTGGAGGCGCGAAACGAAACCGCAACCGCCGATCTAATTTATCAACGGAAGGTGCGGCATTTGACGTTGCGGCCTCGTTTTGTTGTGGCGACAAGTTTCGGACTGCAAGGCTGGGGCCGTGTACTGGTGGTTTAAGAAAGTACACGAGTATAGGCGCCTTTCTTAAGAATGAAGAGGGATGGTGTACGGGCTTAAGAAAGGAAGGCGGCTGTACTCGTACTTGCTGCACGTATCAAGAGAATGAAGGGCGGTGTACGCTCTTGAGGTTTACGGATCCTCACCTAGCAATTTTGCATTTTGACAATTTGGATAATACATATTATGTATATACTTAAGGTTTCTGCAAAATTGCGAGGTGAGGACCCGTAAACCTCAAGAACGTACACCGCTCTTCATTCTCTTGATACGTGCAGCACGTACGAGTATGGTTGCCTTCCTTTCTTAAGCATGTACACGATCCTTCTTCATTCTTAAGAAAGGCGCCTATATTTGCCGTTTGTTTCGCAAAAATTGTGCTCTTTTAGTTCAGAGTTATGTGACAATATATATATTGTTGTCCTCTTCTCTCTCTCTGCCTACGGTTTTACCGGGCAGTTCTGTTTGTGACGATATATATATGTTTGTGACGATATATATATATAGCCCCGAACGCTGAGGGACTGGAACATGATCTGCTTGGACTGCATTTAATCCCGCATGGCGTAGACCCCACGAGGGATTTGCAAATGGCTGACCAGGATCATATGGATGAACCGCATACTTGTGCACCACCCTGCGCAGACCCCACGGGTGTTCTACAAATGACTGACCAACAAAATCAGCCTGAGATCCCCGCCAATCTCTGTGGTTTGACTGCAACTAATAGCTGCCTTCGCGTTCTCAATCGGCCGTTGTATACACGATCAGATTTCCTTGCAATTGCCCTGCAGCTTGATGTTGATCTG